AGGCTCATTCTCTGCCTCTGAAGTAAGAAATCATGCTAAATACAATGAATACATAAATAAGTTTTTATTCCTCCTCAGGATGTTAGTACTTGATGTTATGTTTGAGACTGCTGGAATTAATTACTTTCATGCAGTAAAATAGTGGATACTAGGGGCTGGGAAGATGGCTCAGTGGGTAAAGGGCTTGCTACACAAATGTGAGGGCCTGAGTTCAAATCCTCAGAACCCATGTAAAGCCAGATGCAGTAGCATGTGTCTGTAATGCCAGTGTTCTTACAGCAAGGTGGGAGGCACAGACAGAAGAATCCAAAGCTAACTAGCCTGACATACACAGCGATGAACAACGAAGAGACCCCGCCTCAAACAGGATGGAAGGTAAGGACCGACACCCGGGGTTGTCCTCCAATGTCTCCATGCTTAGCATGTGTACACCTGCCTCTCCATGCGTGCGCGCACACACACACGCATCATACACATACACAAAGAAAAGAGATAGTATACTAGAACCTTCTAGAAATAACAAGATCACCTTATTTACTCCAATCTGCCTTCCAAACTGAAATTTATTATATTTTCTCCTAGGCTAGAGGTGAGAATATTTTCTCCCTATTGTCAAATTTTCAGACCATCCCTCTACTCCAGCCCTGGCCTCCCTGTATACCTTTATATTGAGGTCATTGGAATGAATCAGAACAGTGTTTGGGGGAGGAAATACAGGGATATCCTGGACAACTGGAAGGAAGTGTCAAGGACTGAGCACTGCTACGAAGAACACTGGTTTGGTTGGAGAAGGCAGGAGAGCTTACAGATTTTGAATGACTGTGATAATATAATATCCTTTTCCTTTCTGAGACCAAAAAATGACCTTTAGTGTAGCCTGTATGTTCATTCATTCACTAAACAAACGATTGATTTTTTTTACTATAAACAATCAAGAAGTTTATCATTTATTTAGCTGAATGAGGCTAGTAGATATGTTTTTTTTTTCTTTTGAGGCATGCTGTATACATTCCAGAGAGGTGACAGATATGCTATCAGTATGTTTAACAAACCCTTGCTGAGTCCCTGGGCTAGTCCCTAGACCCAAAAGCCTGCTGTAGTTCCACCACTATCTTTTCCATACAGAAAGTAAAGCAGAATTCAAGAGAAGGAGAGAGAGAGAGAGAGAGAGAGAGAGAGAGAGAGAGAGAGAGAATATCACCATAAGAGTAGCCTTCAATCATGTCTAAATGTGAGGTAAGTCATTTGCATATGTCCAAATAGTAATAACATTATTTGCAACAGACTTCACAAATGACTTTCAAATAACAGATGTCACAGTGAAAAACCTGACCTCAGAGGCAAAGGCAGCCCTGAACGCTTTTTGTGACTGAGCTGTTGGTTATATTTTTTCAGACTTTTAAAATTATTATTTTACTCTAGAGGCCATAATTATTCTCACTCAACCAATTTAGTGGTTTTCCAGTGTTAGCACACATCAGAATTGCCTGGAAAGCTTGTTAGGGCTCAGACAAACAGAGATAGCAAGAGCACAGAGCTGCAGCTGTTAAGGCATTTGCCACTAAGCCTGATGACCTGAGTTTGATTACTGGGATCCACATGGTGGAAGGAGAGAACAAACTCCCACAAGTTGTTCTCTGAACTCTACACAATGCACTATGGCACATCACCCTACACACACCAAAATAATATTAAAGTATAATTTAAAAATTACATTCATGTGCTTCTAAGTAGCACTAATTGTATTCAGTGTAGTATGTTTTCAGAAAATGCAATGAAGTTTGGAGGAGGATGTGTGGGAGGGGGGTGGTCCAGGAAGAGTTGAAGTGGGGAGGGGGTAGATACAATCTAAATACATACATTTCATGCATAAAATCACCAAAGGACACATAATAAACATTTTAATTTAAAAAAATTAAAAATCAAACCCATGGGTTACATTTCAAGAATTTCTGACTCAGTGAACCTAAGTGGTGCCTGAGAAGTTGCATTTCCTGCAAGTTCCCAGGTGACGGTGATGCTGCAGGTCTAGGAACCATGATTTGAGAAACAGTGATCTCATGATCCACTCAGAAACATGTTTACCAAAAGCCAACCAGATTCCTGCTACCAAAAGGAAAAGCTGAACAGAACATTATTTCATAAGAGCTTATGTCCTCTACACATTTTTCCAAGACCTCTGCTTATGACTTACTGTTAGAACAACTCGATGAAATTGGCATCTTTCTCCTATTTTAAAGACAAACTACCACAGCCCAAAGAGATGAATCCACCTGCTCCATCACATGCACAGGGGTTGGAATTAGGATCTGAACCATCAAAGCAAAACAGAAACCCAGACTTAAAAATGGCTTGTAAGCAAAAAGAACTGGTTTGGAAAGGAGAAAGGACTACAATCCAGGGTATGCACCAGGGTGAGCCATGGGCACACTTGCACTCAAAGATGGAAGAGTAGAGAAGCTTTTAGTAGGAAAAAAAGGAGAAATTTACATTAGCTGCTTAGATATAAAATGCACTGGATTTGGAGACCTGCAGCTGGAGCTGGAGTAGGCTCATGGGTGGAGGCCTTTCCAGAAGAGCACCTTTTCTAAATGGTTGTGGTCTTAAACTGTGGTGTAGACAAGGAAATCTGTGCAGATGTGGAAGCTGTGCAAAGTGCAGCGTGAGGACTTTCTGCTGGGGGTTTGTTTGGTTGGTCTTGTTTACTTTTGGTTTGGTTTTGGTTTTTTTGTTTTGTTTTGTTTTGTTTTGTTTGATAAAATTCCAAGAATGATCTTATCATGGGTAAAACATAAGCTTCCCTCCCTTGTACATTCCTGGCTCAAAATTTTTTAATTATTTTATTTATTATTTTTATATTGTGTATGAGTATATTGCCTGCATATATATATATATATATATATATATATATTCATATCATCAATGGTCATGGTGGGCACACGAGAGCGTCAGATCCCCTGGAACTGGAATGATGGCCAGTTGTGAGCTGCTACGTGGGTCCTAGGAACTGAACGCAGGTCATCCGGAAGAACAGCCAGTGCTCTTAACCACTGAGTCATCTCTCCAGCCCTCCAGGCTCTGAATTTTATTTGGATCAGACAAGCATGACTTCATTAGCGTTCTCAGAGCCACGGGTACTGGACAGCCAAATGGTACCAGCAGATGTTGTGGACTGTGTTGCGCTGTAACACTGAAGGGTTTAACATGAGTAAAATTGTCAGCCTTTTGCAGATTTAAAACAAAAATCTAACACTCACAGAGATTAACTAGCATGCCAAGGCCATACCTTAAAGTTTAGACTTCGCCTTTCTGACTCTGAAGAGCTTTTCCCACCATATATCTCCATTTCATCAAACTGTCTTTAGATCAAAATTCCTATCTGACGAGTTTGTATTCATGCTCAGATGCCGAAGAGCTCAGAAGGTGGGCGACTGTGACCAGTGATAGTCATGTATATAGAGATTAGAA